GTGTAGCCATGCCCGCATCTCTGGTCCTAAGTCGAAGAGGCTGGCTTCCCTGCTCTACAGTTGGGAGAGTTTTAGTGGAGGGGTATTCAGTGGGTTGCATCTGGAACCTCACTTTAGATGACACTTCTACACAATGCTCCTTAATAAATAAACCAAGTTGCATACAGATGTGTATAGTGGCTATCCTCCACAACAAAAAAGAAGCTGTGCAGACACTAGGGGTTGGAGGGGCTCAATGATGTGACTCCAGGATGATGCCACATTATTGCACCACTGCTGTATCTTTTATACCCCCCCCCCCCCCCCCCCCCCGCCTTTGAAAATGGGTTTTATTCCACTGCTGTGTCTCATTACACAAGAACAGCACTACCAGCTGAGTGAGGCAGATGTTTGATTGTGGAGCGCGGCAACTCCTCAAGTGGCTAGCATCCATCTGAGTGCCTCTGTTACAGCTGGCTGATGCAGCTGAACCAGGACAATCCATCTCGATGAGGAGAATAGGTCTGGAGTGAGAAAGATGGCAGATGCTAGAGTTTTGCTAAACAGAATTTGACAACAGGGTACCCTGCTGGTATTCCCAAAGGGAAGATGAGAAGCAGGTCACAACCCTTTCACATTACTCACATCACTGACACACAGTCGAAATTAAGTCACCTTAGCAGCTCCAAAATCCAAATATGGAGGTTTGCTCATACTGCAGCGCCTGCAGCTAAAGGCTGTAAATGAAAGCAGGGTAGGGGGATATGGGGGCAGCTGGTGGCGAGTGTCCAGTCAGTCTGTGTTGGCTTAAGAGCGAGGCAATAAATGCCAGCGGACAGCAGATGCTGTAGGGACAGCTGAGATCTATAACAGCAGCCTAAAGCTATGCTCACCGTGCCATGTTGTTACGACCAGCCTCTCACAACTATTCTTCACATCGCTGTCCTATGCAGCACAACTCAACACCACTTCACCTTTAAAAGCATATTTTCGAGGTACAAATGAGTCCACAAAATAGAGCAGGTCCTGCAGAACGTTTTTTGCTCCTGAAATCTTGCTGAAACAAGAGCTATTAAAGTGTGAAGATGTATTCATTTATCATTGGACACATGGCCACATGGACATTTAAAGAGTTGAAAATAGTTGAAAGAGGCTTCCCATTTTAAAGCAACAACGAATGCCTGAGTCTTTTTGCATTAGGTTCCATTTCATTTTAAATTGTCATCTGAGGCCTGAATTGTGTGTTTTTCTTTACATAAATAGATTTCCACCATAGATTGGTAAATAGAAATCCATTAAGGAATTAAGTGTTTGACATTTAAGGAAAGACACAAAACGCCCACTTGTCACCCATAACGCTGAAAAATAAAAACTGCACAAGTATAACATATTACATTTGTTTTTCTCGGTTCAATCAACATTTGCGCTAATAACGATTGAATTTGTTTCTCTGAGCTGTGCCATTATTCATTTAGCTGTTTTTGTTGTCTAGCTTTTCCGACCCAGATGTGATCCTTTCTGCTTCAGCCACATCATGCTCGCTTTACTAATCACCATCGAGTTTTTTTCAGTTTTTGTGTTTTCCCTCACATACTTTAGATGTATACAATTCAAAAGAACTGTAGTAAGCAGTGTGGATGAAGGACTGAAAAAGCAGTGGGGTGATCCATTTCCTAACTGACACCAATTACAGTGAGGATCCACTGCAGGCTGTCAGAGGCAGCTTGAAGCAAAGTCCCAGAGTTTCACACACAGAGATGTGTTTCATAAGCAGTCGGGTGACAGTTTGGTGCTGGTGGGACTTTGAATCATCACTACAGGATGACCTCCCACCCCTCCAAGAGGTTGGAAGAGGGTTAAGGAAAACACACTGGAGCTGTCGCCTACACAGAGTGACAGGAATGGGCTCCGAGAGTCTGACGTGACACAAATGCACAAACGCCTCTCTGGGGTAGCTCGGAGGATCATGTGCAGGGCTGTAATATTGGGCTGGGAAGACCCAGGAACATTGTTGGGGGTGACTCGGGGTCAAATTTGGCCCAATCAAGATTCATCTTTGACTTTAGACACCCCACCCCCACCCCCTTCATCCACTGTAACAATAATTTAAAACTGGTTTTGGGAGATTGTATTCTAATATTTGTTTATTATAGTCGGATAACGTAATGATCACTGTCTTCACTATTGGAAATATAATGAGTGAATTGAATCACACGTTTTACTTAAATATGTGGTGTAATGTTTTTTGGGGCTATCAAATAAAATAACAACAGGATTGTACGGTTATGAATGCATAACAAGTTAATTATGATGTAGTTCAAACAATATTGGATATAGTCATTATTTTTGAGTGTTTTGGACTGAGATAAATCATGGGTCAAAATTGACCCGCGAACACCATGAACGGTAACAGCTATTTTTTCAATACATTTCTTTGGATTTTTGTTTTTACTGCTCATGTTGTGCTTCTTTATGTCTTGTTTTTTGTATTGTTTATATCCTGTAAGCTTAGTTTTTTTTCCCTCCATAAATTAAGAAGTCAGTTGTGTAAGCCAGGGGCTTCTTGACCTCTCCTGTGACATATTATTTCTTATTATCTAGATATAATATTTGTTATCAAGATAATCAAAAGAAGTTACTAGGTATTTGTTTTGTATAACCGTAGTTCAGTGTTTGTCAATTCAGATCAGTGAATTGTGAGCAAACATGAAGTAGAACCGCATCGCCCACATGATTACATCTCTTTTTAGCATTAATGTGGATTTCAAAATGTAGGAAAGTAAACCATACACATCAGAGGAAGAATTGTTTGATGCTGTCAAGATTTAAAATTCAGGATATTTTCATTTTAAATAACAGAGTATACATGATTAATCCATGATGGTATTCCATAGGGATATTTCTAGAAACCATAGCTTACTTATAAAAGATCAAAGTATACCTCTTCCACTCATGCACTGTGTTTGCCTTTAAAGTTAGTTTATTATGCGTGATTTAGGGATGGGTAAAGAAACCCGGTATTTATTGGGCCCAGAAGCTACATTTTTAAAGACGGTGGTATCGATAAGCTCCGACGTTATCGTTTAAAAAAAGTAGAAGTACTCAGATCTTGTAGGATTCTGTAGGAATACTCTGTTACAAGCAAAAGTCCTGCATTCAAAATGTTACTCAAGTAAAAGTACCAAAGCATAGCATCAAAATATACTCATAAAGTATAAATACTCATTATGCACATTTGCCAAATTCAGAATAATATATATTATATATTTTGATTATAATTGTGATGCATTCATGTGTTATCAAAGCTGGTAAAGGTGCAGCTATTTTAATGACTTTGTATACTGCAGGGTAGAGATTGTGAATTTACTCCAGGTGGAACTACAGTATTTTTTAAAGTTTTCATTATATTTCACATTATTATTACAACATCTGCAAAGTAACTAAAGGTATTACATAAATGTAGTTGAGTAAAAGTAACATATTTACCTCCTAATTGTAGTGTAGTAGAAGTACAAAGTCCCTCAAAATGGTACTGTACAGTACCATCATCACATTAGTATATAATGCAAAGGATATACAAGTATATATTCTATTTGTTTTAAAGGTCCCATGTCATGCTTTTCTGGTTATTACCCGTCCCCTTGTGTGTTATGTAGCTTTTTCTGCATGTAAACGGTCTGCAAAGTCACAAACCCTCAAAGTACACCCTGTAGCGAGTACAACTCTAACACAGAAAATACCTGTCTATGCTGCCCCAGAACGCCTCGTTGGAGATTTCTCTTTTTCCATTGTTTTCTTCCTGGGTACAGTGACGTATTTGGGTATAGTGACGTTACGTCACGTCCGTGGAGCCGTTACGTTAAGTTAAGCTACTTCCTCCTCACACACACACTCAATCTTTTCTCAGCTGCAGCTCCGCCGATTTCTCCGCCTGAGACGGCGGGACGCGGCGAGGCTGTGAGTCGGTGTGTGAGCACAAACACAAACTCCCAGCCAGGCTGCGGGTGTGTGTGCTCGGGCTGGTTTCTGGCTGGGTTTTGCTGTGTCTCGCAGACAGCCACTAGGCTCATAGGGAGGGGGGGGCAGGAGCTCCAACAAGCCGTTTAGGACAGAGAGTGAATACACATAGTATACAGAGATGCTGTATGAGAAACCAATGTGAGTTTGGAAAATCGCACAATGTAAATCTATTTTAGTATACCTCAACAATGGAATTATGATCAGTAGAAATTGCCATGACATGGGACCTTTAAGTAAAATAAAGCAATGTTGATTCCGTTTCCAAATTGTTTAGCTTTCCCTTAAAAATAAATACAAAAATAACCAATACAAATACAGTTAAAGTACAAGATCGATAAGTAGTATTGGTAATAGTACCGTTCAAATCTTAACCTCTTTCTCCCCTGGTGTGATTATGATTTATAGCTCTGAATAATATATGTCAACCTAAAAGAAAGAAAAACACTTTGGTGCTAATTTTGGAAGAAAACATTCATTTAGTTTAGAGTAACTATAAAATATTATGACCAAACTTTAACTTTTGTTATTGTAATTTCCCAAACGTTTTTGTTTTGTCCTGAAGCCTTGACTTTTAGTTGTTCATGTTCTTTCATTAGGATTTGCATTGAATAGGTCTACTTCCCACAGCCATTTGTTATTCACCACAGTAAATCAGCATGTTTCAGCTTCCCAACAACTGTTGCATTACAGACAGACGGAGACAACATGAGTACATTTGTGCATTCTAAGTTTCCTGCAGATATTAATTACAGCTAATTCTATGAGCTGTAATTTGCATCAAAGTCCTAGTGTGGGTCACAGAAAGGCTGATTAACAGACATTCTGTTTTGTGAGGGTGCCAGTTCTGAGGGCGGGCGCCGGGCGGTACAGAGACGTTTATGTGTACTGATGGAGGGCTGATGCCGGGCGTCACGGCCAATTGGTAACAAAAGGATGTTTGGAGGACGGAAGCGTCTCAGCCTGTCCGTCTGTCTGAGCAGAACTGACAATGCCCCACTCACCTGACATGTGCACGGAGTCGTTGGGAAAGCTCAGGTCGTCCTCAGCTACCCAGGAGAAGCTCCAGTACCCTCTAGGAATGCTAGCAGCACTTCCACCTGCCAATGGTTCACCTGCAAAAACAGCAAATCAACATTATACTATTACAGCACACACAGTGACAAAAGACAACACACCTTTTACAGCTATATGCAAACAGTCTTTAAAATGACCTTTAAAGCATGTACACTTGTTAAAATAGGAGCCCAAAGGACTAATGTAAAGCCTTAACAAGGCTAAGGAATTATACTTTGTCCTTCGCTGCTTGCCCTGCCTTGCGAGCCATCAGGGCGCCAAATATGTTCCCTTTAAGGCATTCAATGAAATAATGATTACCCCTTTCTGTGTTTATTTTGCCTGACGGGTTGCCATTGATTTGGAATCCATGCTGAGGTCTTATTCGTTTGGCAGTCTTACTCACTCATTGCTCCACTATAGTCTTTTATCATCTGTAAATGTTATGCAATTTGAAGTTTCACCTTCAAAGCGTAAAAAAAACACAATGTCAAGAGTCAATGAAATGTCTACAATATTGGTACGGAAGATAAATAGCTGGAACAAATTCAAGCAGTGACACCAGGAACTTGAGTCATAGTTTAAAAAAGAGCCCTTATGAATTGGTTATTGGATATCGATAGTCTGTATATTTACCTGAGGTGTTTGCCTGATTTGGTTTGACTCTCTCCTCACCTTCTAAACTCAAGCTAATTATCCCAAGATCGAACAGAAGTCCGTTACTGTAAAGTAGATTCAACAACTTTGACCTCTCCCCACTCACACACCACTCTCTCTCACACAGTCCTCAGTCCATGGATAATTATTACACAGTCACAGACCAATACACCACTGCCTCCGATGGAGACTCCTGCATCAATCCTGCATTTAAAATTAGCCTTGAAGAGCGATTCATCGTAAATGATGCCTTACATGGCACTGAACAGAGCACACAGCGGGTAACCTGAAGAAGGGTTTTGTTTTTATTTATTGGCTCTCTCCATTTATATATGCCAAAGTCACTACATTTTTAATCTATAGCATGCCGTAAATAAGAGATACAGTTTAACAGTGTAATTATCCAAGGACATACTATCTTTCTAAAACTAAAGTCTCATGTATTTTTCTCACAGCAGAGCGAAAGCCATACTGACCTTTCCATGATATGCAAATGCTTTTAACCAGCCTATATACATGATAAGACAACAACTCAAAACAACTCTTCAATTCCGGTAAGACGAAGACAAGGTGTGATTTCAATCAAGTTAATCATTGAATTACAATTCTACGTAACCACATTTACTTTTCACAAAAGAAAGGTTGACAGGTAATGCTATTAAGAAACTGTAATGTGAAATGACATCTAAACATTTACATGTTCAGCCTTAAAGGATAGGCCTAAAGAAGGAACCTGTTCACTAGATGGTCAAGCACAATACGAGGGTGTTTTGCTATGGAGCGGTTCTTCGTTCTAAATTCATCAGGATGGAGAACTTGACATCAATGGCCATGACTGTCATGATTCACAGCTATTAAAAAGAAGCTGAAGAAGAGAAATGAGAACAAAATGAAATAATTGATTACAAGGTCAAGAGACAAGTATAGATAATAAGCAATTGGTACAAGGGAAGCGGTTATAATAATAATAATAGCTTGGATTTATATAGCGCCTTTCATAAGACCCAAGGGTTAGGGTTAGGGGTAAGTAACCGCTTTACAAAGAAGAACAGGTGCAAAACAAACATAACAAAACAAAGGGCAGTCAGACAACCAGTCAGACAGACAAAACAACAAATAGATTAGGGGCCAAAGGCCTTAGTAAACAGATGGGTCTTGAGGGCCCTTTTGAAGGCATCAAGTGTGGGGATTATGTCCATTATTGTACTAAGTAGCCCTTTCCACAGACTTTAGATTAGATGTTTTTGATTTGACTGCACTTCCTGTACTTCCTTGAATTCAGGAAAATAGTCAGAACCCTGAACCTTTCAAAAAATGGTTTTCATCACTTAATTGTGCATATTTTTCCCAATTGATGACCAGGCAAGAGGAGATGACTGTCCATAAAGACTGGTTCGGGGTCAACAGCAGTTCAGCTGCAGGGGAATATGTCTGGTTGGTCGGATACTGCATGAGGTGGCAGTCTGCTGCTAACTGTTTGGTTGGCTGCCTGGTAGCTGTAGCTGCTGAAGAGGGTGAGCCGACCGGCTGTTGTGAGAGGTGGATGGCTTTCTTACTGACTGACTCACAGCTGGATGGCCGACTGGCTATCACACGAGTGGCATTTCTCGGTGTTTGTGGGGCGTGTTTAACCTTACACGCCATATGGTTTGTTTGCAAATAACAATTTGAGAAGCAGGCATTTGAAACTGTTTGGAAAAGGGCAGGCGCTTTAAAAACAATACCTGGCGGCTGATTGGATTAACCATCTGTCAATCCACCGAGAAAAGCCTTAACTGCGGTTCTTTGCCCTTCTCGTAGCAAAGATCCCTTTAGTTCTGATATAACTGATGCTTTGCAGCGTCTAAATGACCTTTTTAGTAGCTGCCACTGATGTGCATGCATAAACGAAGTTGACTGGTGTAGAAACTCGCGGTTGGTACACACACATTACTTGAAGCCTGAAAAGATAGATTTGTGATCTTGTGATCCATTCTCATGAGACTTCCAACAATCTACCCGGGTTTGCAAGGTAAGGGCATGCTTTCAATATGTCCTGGTATGAAAAGGTCAAAAAGGCTTTAATCAGGCCCGTCATCATGAATCTCTTAATTTCCCAGTAAATCTTCATTCCCAACCTCAGTGATGGGATAACAATTAAACTGTCGATATTCAAGTAGTCAAAATGAGTCTCTTAAAGGCTGTGTCAGCTCAACCTTACAGTATGAAAAGAACAGACATCTAAAAAAGGGAGCTTCGAATAGGACCATCTCTGCATTAAAATCAGCTCCTATCGTCTAACCCTATCGTCTATTCCTTGACCTCTGAGTGAAACGTCACGGGGTTAAGGGATAGTGGATAGGAGAATTTAAAAGGACTTAGGAGAAGAGACTGCGGTACTTTAGAGAATCCGAATGCACTTTCACTATCCAACGTGTTTATGATGCGCCAGCGGACGTCATGAATGTGCGTCTGCTGCTGTGGGGAAACTATGGAAACCACAGTTTTCTATAGCGGACTACAACATGGATGTATAATAAGAAGGAGGGACTACTGTAAACTCATCTAGAGACTCTGCACCGTGCTCTGACGCTGTTGCTTTATGCTTTATGAACGTGGACAACAGAGAAACATATTCTTCATGACCAAAGTTGGAATTGAAATAAAAAAGGAAAGTGAAACTTATGCTCGTCACCCTCTCCCTCCGGTCCACATTAATACAAATGATCCCAATACGTATGATTGTATGAACTATTAAAAGATCTTAAAACCAATACAAATGTATTTATTATAAACGTTAGTCCTTAACATCTATCACTGTGTACATCACCATTCAAACATCTTTTAAAAGTTGAACAAACTCCAAACAGCTCAGTAAAGACTGTGAAATGTTGACTTTATTTGATCATTTCAGTAAAAACTAACGTTCACATTTCTCTTTTTGATTATAATACTGATGAACGTTCAAAACAAAGCACTTTGGCAACTTACCACATACGTTTTAAAATGCTTAATAAGCACCGTAACTTTCATGATATAATTTCTCGGTCATAATCGGTTGTTTCCGTGAACGGCCGACTGTTGTGTGATGGCAAATGCTGCGGCCGCAAGGCATTGTGGGGCAGCATTTTCTCCTCTCCTTTCGGTGAGGGAGGTCCAGTGGTTCCTAAGCTAAATGGAATATTCGACTTCAGCCCAGATGTCCGAGCAGGATGTGTCTCCAGGTGATGTTAATTTGAGCATCTGCAATTGGGAGGAGACACCGGGGCAGAGCCAGAACATGCTGGCCTACTAACACCTCAAAAAGCTCCAGAATGTGTTGGAACATGCTACTGTAATTTAGAGTCTACAGTATGTGACCTTGGTTTGCCTACTTGACACAAAACATAAAAAAGATTTGAATTTAAAACTGGATCCATCGACTCTATGATTATACATGAGCTTCGTAGTTTCTAGTCACCACACTGATATAAACTGAACTTGTATAACAAACCATGGGAGAGTGAATACAATGGCTCTCACTGATGACTTTGTTCATGGTAGATGTCTTTGTGATGATGTCAAAACAACAGTCCAGGGGGTATAAATACACAGACCAACACAACATTATCTATGTTTCTACTATGCACATATTTATGAGGAAGCAATGAGTTAGAAGCAGCCATGCACTATTAGAGCCGACAAATCATTACTATTGCTCTTCCTTTAGAATAATGCTATTCCCTTTCACTTTATACAAAAAAAGTAATAAATGTAAAATGTGCAAATGTGTTTTACGAAAAAGAAAAAAAAGAAACACTACTCTAATCAAGATTTGCTTTCACAAACTGATAAATAAACATTTGACTTGTGAAAGTCTTATCAGCATAATGTTTTTTTATACAAAGTTAGGACCAACATTAGGATATCGTATAAATAAGGAGACGATTGTGGCAGATTCTGGTTTACAGATCAAATCCCCTCTGACATGTTCATGAATCAGTAAGAGAGAGGTTTTTCTAGCAGGTGAGTACATTGAAGCACATTTTGAGAAAATCCTAATGAATCACGGCAGTTGCATCTTGAATTAAGTTATTTACAATGCTTAATCTCAAAAGATAGTATGTCAACACAACTTCACATAAATGTTCTTAACTGAGTTTTAGAAATCCTTTTAGTTTTCCTGTGAGGAGCCTGTGAAAAAATCCTCACTGTAATAATGTTGCTCAAATTGTACTCATGAAAAAAAATATTGCTGGCAGCCCTGTCAGCCACACAAGTATGTGCATAACAAACACGTACACTCCTGTGCACACAGTCAGTAGTGCATGTACAATTCGCCACTACAGAGGAGAGTTGACTCAGCTCAGTGAACAGTCTAATTCTGTCCAACCCACACTCCAAAATCCTTCAAATGCTTTGTGGATTTATCAATGAGGCTTGA